GTTTTGCAACATCGTCTGGGGCGCAATTCATTTCACAGACGTTCTTTCCAGCCATCCTATTGGAGGTCGACCGCTGGAAAGGAGAAGGGTCGTCTGGAAAATCCTATTTTCTTGTTTTTAGACAAAGCAAGTGGCACGCCTAACATTCAACTCACGTGGTAAAGGCCGGCTGAGGATTTTTTGAGGAAACAATCCTTTGTTGGCACGCCCAGTGGGACCAGCAAAGTGTATCAGTTAAAGTTTACAGACCCTCTGTTTATACATCCAGAAGCGTCTAGAGCCATGCCACCGAGAAAGAGCAGAGACAAAGAGGTTCAGCCAGCCCAGGCTGACCATGCAGACGACAGTCCACTCCACTCTGAGGGCGAAAATGATCCCATCACTTTTCTCCCAGTGTCACCTCTAGCAGAACGGTCCTATGGGAATCTAGTGTTTAAGGAGAAAGAAGCAGACCGTGGAGGTGACTTTGCTGAATCAAGTAATGTGTTTAGAGGTATGACTGAACGTCTGGATTTAGCATTCAAAGAACAGAACCAGGCTATGTGGAGACTTGTTGACAGTCAAGCAGAATCCTCCAGACGTGAGGAAGAGTTAATTAGACAATGTATAGAAGAGATGAGACGGGTCTTTGAAAAAGGCACTAGGGTGATGCAAGAAACTGGGGAAAAAAGTCGCAGAACACTGCAGGCTGTTTCAGAACAAGTGGTTGAACAAGTGCGACAACCTAGACTTGAGATCCTTGCTCCAGTCGTTGAAATGCCCAGACAGATTCAGGAAGCCCCGATCCCAGCACTCGGGGGGCAAGGGAATCAGCCTCATCCTAACATTCAACAGCAGAATTTCTTTATGGGTGAAGGACAAAGACAGCATGAACCAATGGAGGCTGCTGCTCCTGTTGCAGACCATGGCCATCAACCTCAGCATAAGTATATTCTGCCAACTAGGAAGGGAAATGTGGGTCCTCATGCTCAATCTCATCCAAGGGACTTTTTTCAGCCACAAGTTCCTCCAGCCCAGCCGGTACAGCGTGGTCTGCAGAATCAACCAGTTCAATTCTTCAATAAGGACCATGGGCCAGCCTTGAGGCCATTGGAAAAGATTGATAAGGACATCTTGAAATTTCCAGACAAAGCGAAGGAAACCATGGGAGGGGATGCAGACCCTTTTCCAGCTGTGTTTGTCGGCGTGAATGTTGCAGACCTCAGGAGTGTTGCCAGAAATCGTAGTCTGCCTTATGCTCAAAGGAACCTTGCTGCCGAAGACTTGAGGTGGGTCCTTGAGGCGCAGAGATCCAGACATAGCAGGAGCGTCAGGTCAGACTAGCAGAGGCTCGGGGGGCAAGAAAGGATCACTGTGACCAGGAACTTCAGTCCAGAAGGTGCCAGACGTTATTCAACTGGTACTAGATCTCCAAGGATGGTCAAACCGCCACTCAGGTCACCTTCCAAACGGTGGGAGAAAATTAGTCATCTTAAGTTTCCAGCCCAGAATACCAGAACCGTGAGGCGCAGACTGCAACGCAAGAAGGCTGAAGAGTGGAAAAGGCAACAGCAACAGATGGAGATTGAGGGAAGTTCATCTCGCAGACCGCGCCAACCTATAAAAAGGAACATGGTGTGGGTGAGAAAAGAGAAAAAGGAGGCTGTAACCCAGATTCTACTAAAGGGGTATGACCAGTCTCCAGCCTCTCCAAAGGTGGCATCTTTCATTGTGAATCCAGACGGGGTTTTGAAAGCAACTTTTGAAGCACAAGAATAGTCTGGGAATCGTGGAGCTGAATCAAAAGAAGATGGCACTATTCATTTTGGGGAATTCTCAATGAATTTGTCATGTCTGGTGCTGACATTACCCTTGGTTTTCCAAGCCAAGAAGGAGGAGGAACCAATCGTCTGTGAGTTCCCAGAACAGACAGAAGAAGAGGTAATCGTTGTTCCAGCTCAGGATGATGAAGAAGAGGACATGGCCGACAAAATTGTGTTTGAAAAACCAGAAGAAAAGATGGACAGACACATTAGGCCACTTTATATCAATGCTCACATGGATGGGACTCCAATCAGCCGTGTCTTGGTGGATAATGGAGCTGCAGTCAATGTCCTTCCAACTTGCATGCCCTACAAAATAGGCAAGTCTCTTGATGATTTAGTGCATACTGAGGTTACAATTAGTGATTTTACAGGAGGGGTGAATCATTCAAGAGGTGTGCTGCCTGTTGAATTAACAGTGGGAAATAGGACACTGATGTCTGCATTTGTTGTGGTGGATACTGTTGCTACTTATAATGCACTTTTGGGGCGTGACTGGATTCATTCAAGTTGGTGTGTCCCTTCTTCACTTCACCAGAAACTGATTTTCTGGAATGGTGGCAAGGCTGAGGTCGTGTCTG